AACAGTAAATTTCATTACTTGCTCTGGAAAATTTACGTGACTGTCACGTAATTTCTTTCGAACTTGTAAAATTTACCACAGTTCCGGTAAGAATTATTCCGAGTAACGTAAAAATTATCCAGTTTTACTTAAATGACAAATGTTTTTGATATACCCGCCAGGACAAATTCCCTAGGACATCCCTTCACCCGACCGAGTCGGTAATTCAACTCGGCCGTCATCTGCCGGTATTTCTCGAACTGGCCTTCTTTACCACTTATCTCATCAATATTTACTTTACCTAATTAATTGAAAACAACCGATTATTCGATGTCAATTGCGACGAATAGGCTTCTTTTCACCCTAGAATTAATTTGTTTATAATATTTTTATCATCCCCGACCTTATTATTCCCACAAAACCACCTCCATATATATCCATGCACATCCATGCAATAACATGGACACTCCATGGGATTTGAATCGCCAGGGTAACTAAAATTGATTGTGTATGATTCTACTCATTTCCAAGATAGTCAGCAGATAACTTGATAAAAAACTAGAATTTACTTTAATTTTCATTGGAATAGTTATCAATCTTACATACGGGAAACAACGATAATCCTCCTATCAAAATCGTGTAAAAATCTTACTGCTGGTATTTTAATTAACGTCAAAACCTAATCAAAACCTAATCCTTTATTTTAATTTACATAAGTTTAAAAATATGAATCCATTGATTAAAAAAAAAGTGTAGATCATTTATTAATGACACAATTTCTCGAGACCAGATTATAACGTTTGGATTTTCATATATTGGTAATAGAATTACTATGCACTAATGAGTATTTTATGAAACGGCTCTCATACATGGAAAGATATTTCTATAAACATAGGCCATCAACAAAATTCAATTAAGCACTACGGACATTGGCGATTATCTCCCTTTGTAATCAATTATGAACGGATAATTTCCTAATCGATCCCTTATTCCGATGGAGTGGAGACAGTATTCGGTATATTAATGAGGTAATGAATCGATCATTAAAAATGTCTGATGTCAGCGTATTTATCCATTTTGATATACATATTACTAAGTGGCGTACAAATAGTAGCAAAAGATTTTAGAACCAAAGTCAGTGCAAATAAATTACTTACCACTGAATGTCAGATATTTGCATAAACTACTTACCACTGAATGTCAGATACGCTGTAATAATGTCTTATACTGATAAATATTATAATAGTAAGAAGCTGTCGAGATTGTTACAATTAAATAGTTGCGCTCTTTACATTTTCATTTAGGTGTTAGGGAATTTTTATTTTTTTTAAGTTTCACGCATTGGATAGGGGAAAAGTGGCAGTCGCGGGAGTCACTCGTACTCAAACCACAATTTCAGCTATAATGCATGCTTTACATATAAAGTGTGATTGTCCAGCGTCCGTTACAACTTACACTCATATATTTTGAAATTGAAAGAGTTCGTGGTTTATACCGTTTATGAGCAACTTGTACACACCCCACACATGCCGATACGGAATATATTTTCTACTTATCTGCAAAGAAAAATTGTTGATAGTGTAACAACGCAGCATAACAAGCGAATTAAAGCATAATAGTCATTTGGTAGAGTATAGTGAAAAAAAAATTGACATTGACTAGCGTACTCACTCGAATTTCATAGGTAATCCATATTAAAAATCAAGTTTCCAATAATTATGTCAGTAATATGGGTGAAAGGAAAAACAATGGATTAGAATGTTGAAAGATTATAATATAATTCAATCGAACAAACGCAATATTCAAAATCAAATCAGTGCGTGTTAAAAACGTAACCTAAGATTTTCTATCATGGATTATTAAATATATTGTAAGGGTTAAGGGAATAGAAAAACGTCATAAACATTAACGATTCGGACAGTGGAGCTAATTTTGCTAATTCAACCTACTTTACAGAGATTAAATAACTTGTGGTTTTCATCATGATAAGAGGAAATGGAAACAATTTACCGTTAAAATCTCTACGAGTTCATACTGATGTAGAGCTGCAGACGAAAACGTCCAAACAACTGAGAATTACGAGAGTAAACGCCCCAGAGTTGAAAGATTATTCTCACACTTCAAAGGATAAAGAAAATATACATCATCCGGCGAGTGAATCAAATAGTAAAAATGATCAAACGAAAAGTGCAACAACTGCAATCCATTTCCCATCAAATTCTCAAGTGTCTCCCCCACAAAATGAACATCAAATGGCCGAGAAATCTCGAGAAGAAAGCCAGCAAAATGAAAATAAATCTCAGCCAACAGAGAAATCAAAGAGTGATGAGAGTAAAAAATGGGTTTTGTCTGATTTTGAAATAGGTAAACCCCTAGGTAGAGGAAAATTTGGTAACGTTTACTTATCGAGAGAAAAAAAATCGAAATTTATCGTCGCTATGAAAGTACTTTTTAAAAATCAAATTGAAGAGGCTAATGTGCAGCATCAAGTACGAAGAGAAATCGAAATTCAAACACATTTAAGGTTAATTATTGGCATTAATATTTCCCTAAATATATACTTGAATGGGGTACTTTCTATTTAGAATTTATTTAATTAATGAATTCATTAAATTTTCAGACACCCTAATATTTTACGAATGTATGGCTACTTCCATGACAATAAACGAGTGTATTTGATTCTGGAGTATGCGCCTAAAGGTGAACTCTATAAAGCATTGAAATCCGCACCTAATGGACGTTTCGATGAATCCAGGTAAACGTATAATAAACTAATAGTTTTCATCATTTCGAGCCTAGTGTATTATTTCAGACCAATTATTTTTTGTCGAAAAATGTTACCGAAAATAATATTCTCGCCAATCTCTATATTTGTGGCCGTCGACATGAGAAGGGTATTCCGATAATCTTGGTCAGGTCCCTCACATTTTCCAGCTCAAAACTAATTCGATAGCATGGAAAATGACGTCAGTTTAAAGAGTGAATATTTAAAAAACTAGAGGAGAACCTTTTTCATATAGGCGAGTGCATAGATTGTAATAAAATAATGTAACAATCTATAAACAATTGTAATTCAAGCCTTGCATATTGCACACATGGTTTATCGACTCATTGGTGGTTTTTTTCTTTTCAAAATATATATATCCCTGAAATAAAACCTAGCTATGATGGTTAATGGCAATCGACGTTTCAAAAATTACAGAACAGCAGCCTACATGTATCAGTTAGCAGATGCATTAAAGTACTGCCATAGTAAAAAAGTAATCCACCGTGATATCAAGCCAGAAAATTTGCTACTGGGTTTACGTGGTGAATTGAAAATCGCAGATTTCGGTTGGTCCGTTCATGCACCATCATCACGACGAGATACTCTCTGCGGTACCCTCGATTATTTACCACCAGAAATGGTTTCTGGACAGTCACATGACCATACTGTTGATCTATGGGGAGTTGGTGTATTATGCTATGAATGTTTAACTGGTAAGCCTCCATTCATGGCCGAACGCTATGATGATACCTATAAAAGGATTATGAGAGCTCAGTATACATTCCCCAGTTATATTAGCGCCGATGCACGAGATTTAATTTCAAAGGTGAGATTATTTTTTTATTCTTCCATCTATCAAATTTTTTATTGTAACTCGAAATATTTTGCATTGCAATTCTATGAGAAAATTTTTACAATCTCTTCGTTTTTTAATATTAAAAAGAGGGAGAGAAATCGAGGAGAACGAGACGACAAATGTACAATTGCGCTGTGTTTCTCTCGCTGTAGAATCATCCTTCAGTCCTTAAAGCTATTTCTTCATTTTACTAATTTTTCTCATTTGATTAGCATACGCCCGTCGAACTCTTACTTTCAATTATCGACATTATATATAATGAATAATCCGATGAGAAAATCGTCGTGTCTAAGGCACGCATGGACTTTATCGAACGCGATCTCTAGTTTAACTTTCATTTTGTTAGCCTAAAATATATCGAAACCTGAGATTCAAATTCTATTGCGAAAACTATTCCAATAGTTATGAAAAGCTAATGAAACAACAAGGCGGCAGCAATTATGCGACTCTAGTTGAGCTATTGAAATGTATGTATATATATAAATGTATTTAAATCCATTTAAATGTATGAATGGATGGCAAGCGTTCGGATTGTTTTTACAATATGTTTTTCCCATTTAGGCCAAACCTATTAAAAATGTATTAGTAATTATGCGCGTTTCCAACACCATCCATTGGACTGATAAATGGAAAATTTCGTTTAAAATTCAAGTTAATAGTTCGCTTTTTGCGCGGGTGTGAGGGCGAACAACAATTCAAATTGAAAAATGAAAAAACGAGAATACCTGAAAAACTTTGTATGGCCGCCTATATATGTTTTGATTGATTATGATAGAGGATATCACGACGAAAATTTTAATTTATAAAAAAATTTCTACATTGTGTATCAAGGGCGGAATTAGTATATTGTGCACTATGGGAGGAAAACAGGGCATTCCAACCCGCGTGGGTATTACCGACACGAGGCGACCCGAGGATCGTAAACACGCGGGTTTGAATGTCTGTTTCCCTACCGCGGTGCACATTGTTCTTTCCATCATGGCTACCCGGAAAAGTTCGATTTTTCTTCGTAAATAAAGAGAGTAATGTGGGTTATGTTATCTCGAGGATGCTCAAAAACAATAGAAATCTAAGGGAGAGAATAGGCCACTTTCTTTCCGTCATTTGGGGAATATAATCGAACTTTCCATGTAGGTATGACGGAAAGAACAGTGTGCACCGAGGAAGAAAAACAGGATATTCAAACCCATGTGTTTACCACCCTCGGGTTGGTAATTCACAGGCGGGTGAGAATGTCTGTTTCCCTTCCGTGATGCACAATATACTATAATCGACTTGCAATTTGTCATGAAATTTCCCGTAGGGGGCATCCAACTCCGATTATTGTGGATTTTTTTTATATGTAGTATCCGTTGAAAGCGGCCTCCATTATTTTTTCGAATTTTTTTATTGAACAGTTTTCAAGATATCCATTTTGAAAAATTTCGAGATTTTTTTAATACCCATAACTTTGCGAAAAATGGAAGTTTTTTAATCGTGAAATTTTTGTTTTTGAATTACCCTTGGGAAGAGAACCGCTCTTCGCATATAAATACCCTCGACGTCGCTCCTTGGTCTATTTAATATTTTCTAAAAAACATTAATTATCAAATATTTCACCGTAAAAAGATAAGATTCAAATCAACTGCATAACATTTGAAAATTGACACATGCGAGCATTAAAGTGTCAATTTTTCCTATTGCATGCACTCCTACGTTCGAAAAGTCAATAAAATGAATAGAGTTTACGTTTTATGTGAAATCGCTAATAAATCAATTTCAATATTTTCAGCTACTGGTCGTCAATTCTGAAAACCGTTTATCTCTGAACGGTATATTAAACCATTCCTGGGTCCTAGCGAATCGTGAGACTGAACCAAAGCAACCTTAACCGTTCATTCGAAAATCGACATAATTGTTATTAAATGTGAATCATCATTTTAGGAAATTTTGATTATGACTTATTTAACTATAAATTTATGGTTCATATTATGCTATTATCAGTTTTATATTGTATATTCATTTCTGAATCTACATTTCCATTGGTTTACATTTCTAAATTATGCAGTTGAAAATCAAAATCAATAGCAATAATTTTTTTTTAAGTTAAATAATACCTCATACTAAAAACCGATACTAGGACAATCATTACTTTAAATATCCATGACCATATGGAAATCCTGACAATTTAATGAAATATTGAGCGAATACGATCTGTTTTTTTACATTACTTAATGTTCTCGTAAGTTTATCACGATATGTAATATTATTAGTCTCATATATCTTAATAAAAAACGCTAAACGGCAAATTAGTTCCTTTATCCTATAGATTGTTGTTTCCGATTTGCAGGATATCGTCGACTCATTGCGGATTGATCTGCGAGTTGGATTTCTGCTAGGATTAATAGTTTATTTCGTCACTAGTCCATCGCTAGATACTTTTCTGGCGATTGTGAGTTTACAATCCAAAGCGAAGCCGAGTACTGCAAACACAATCACCAGAAACTTTGTTTTCGGCCGAGTAACAAATAATATTTTTTGGCATGTAGTCCGTAGGTAGGGTTTCACGAGCGGCGGAAAAGTCCGTTTTGTTCTTAATGAAGGTGAAAATCTATCCAAAAATAATTCAATTTATATCATTCTGTTCCCTTATTTTTCTGTACGAAAAGCAATAGTATTCATTCAACGAACTAAAGGTTCAACAAAATAATTTTGAAATCATCAATTATAAGATAATGAAAATGTTCAAAATCATCGGTTTCACAGTGTAATGAAAGCAAATGTGACACAGATTTAGGTCATCGTTCAGTATTAAAAAATAGTATATTACGCAACAAGAGCAAGTAAAATGAAAAGGCATCGATGACATCGAGAGAATTGAGAGTTGAAAAGAAAATTTATCAACGCTAAAAATTTTTCTTGTCACATGCAACCAAATTAATAATATTTTGGAATCTTATGTAAAATTTGATTGAATTGTAGATGAAAGGTTCTGATTGATGGAATCCTTCAATGGAATAGTCAAGAGCATGAATAAGGAGAAAATATTGGGAGACCTTCTACAGGGGAGTAAAGAGCGATGAAGGCACATGCAAAAAATTGGAAATTCTCGGTTATGACATTTTATAATTATTGTCAGATTCTGAACGGAATTCCGGCATAAATGACAGTTGGAATTATTGAGAATGAAATTTTAGTCACTAAACACAGGTATTCATTTAAGGACCGGTTGGATTATCTGGAAAAGATAATTTACTCCAAAATTGGGATTCCTAATTACTTTGGCAATTAATCGTTTTTTTCAATAATTGTTAGCTAGGCCGCTAGCTATCAATTATCGGAAAAAACGATTAATTGACGGAGCAATTAGAAGTCCCAATTTTGGAGTAAATTATCTTTTTCACACAGTCCATCCGGGCCTTAAAATTGAAACAGTAATCAAATGACATGTACTATTTTCATGAATATTGACATTCGTGACCATGAGAACGCTGATGACCGATTAATTTGAGAAAAAAAGGAACAAAATGAGGAAATGAAATGGAAAAACAAAATAAAAAGGTATCAACGTCGTGACCGCATCAGCGGCCGTGCCGGCGGTAGATGAACAGGTAAATACTGTCACAGCATTTACTAAGTAGGTAATAAGTTAATAATAACAAATTAATTGCCAACATATTTCAGTACTATACTTCTACTGAATAAAAAAAGTCATCACAACAATTTTAACTCGTTCAAAAGGAGGGACTATGTAAATATCGTTCATCGTTTGTCTCAGGCAGATATTTATTGCTTTGTCTATTATTTAATGTGCTTGACGGAACAAATAGTTCTTTAAAAATATATCGCGCTTTTCCACAGACGAACTTTCCTGTTTTCACTGCTAAATTGGTGATTCATTGATGATACATTTCGTAATGTTCAAGTTTATAACGTAGCGGTATGCCTTTCTAATGCGGCTGCGCATGTTTCTACCCTATGTCACTTGACTTGATTCTTGGAGGTCTCCGCCCTTACGAAAATATTTCGGGCTGACTGTACCCAAGCCATGCAATTCTTCCTCCATCATTCATCATTGTAAACGATCATTGGCATGTTCTAATTTCATTGTATTACTTTGCCATGGAACAGTCAATAAAAAGGTCGCTTAATTTCCATCCTGCTGAAAAGTAATAAATTGTAATTCCAATTTATTTCTTTCTAGGTCTTCCGTCATAACCTCGGGAAAATTCGGTGTTATATGGGGAGTAAACGCTGAATTATAAATAATAATTTTTAAAAATCACACTTTAATGGAATTCCGGTCTGTGATTCATAAACGAAAATGTAGAGATGTTACTAAAATTTAGCCATCATTTCATTTTTTTTTCATAGATCATTATTTAGATCATTTAAACAACATCGGTTATGGCGTTCGGGGAAAAATTACTCATACCTTGAGTCGGCGTCTCCAAGAGAAAGAGACGAATAACTCATGTCTCTCCAAACCGGATCCTTCTCATGGGAATGAGGATATTCTTCTACGAATACCATCTAATCCATTATCTGATTATCAAGTTATTTTCATTGAGAACTGACGAGTCAAAGATGAATGTTGATGCTAGTAGCATCTACTAAAAAAATTATAGCATCTTCCTCTTCAATTTTAGTATCTGTTATATAGTGATGAGATGTGCTGTATTCGTTCAATCATGATTATCTCCTTTTTTTAAATCTTTATTCAAAATTGCGGTCAGAGAGATTTTTCGAATTGAAAATATCGTCGAACAATAAATTGTATCACTATTTTTTTATATTAAGGTAAATAAATTGTAAAACCGTCTAAAGAAACACTTTTTTTACTTTTCAATGCAACCTCTTCTCGTACCATCGTTATCGCTTTGAAATTCACGAATAAACATAATTAAAAAAAAACTCTAAAATTGATAATATATAATTTATCGTTTTTTTTCATTGTATTTTTATAAAATGTTACATAGGTGGGGAAGGGAGTATTTTATTTACAAAGATATGAGGAAAAAGATCATGATAATGAATGAATCTTAGAGGGAAGAGCGTAAAAAACTTCCAGGTGAGCTTCATTTTTCTTGTGACACTAAGAGCACAAAAAAAATTCTTTAAAATAACTCTTGTGAGTTGAACTTTAATTGAGAGTACCACGGCACTGCGGTGCACCACACAGACACGGTATCTTGTCGTCTTCCAGAGGAAATTTGTAATCATACGTGATTTCTTCATTCACACCAATGGGCTGTTTACTATAAATTACGATTTTCTTCTGACCTTCAATTGTAATGACTTTCGCGTAGCAATTTGGCTGAAAAAAAAGTGGTGAACATGAATAACGGTTATTATTGAAGTAGGACTCACACGAGCACGTGCATGGAGAGAAAAATTTCATAAAAATTACGTGGCTGTTCCGTCATCTGCCAGTCAAAACAGTATTTAGTAAAAATTACGAAATAGGCACTTTTTCACTAGACGTTCAGGAAAAAGTACAGAACGTTGAGGAAAAAAGTGCGCAACTGTTCCATATTTTTGACTGAATACTGTTTTGACTGGCAGATTACGATTAGATTATTTATTATTATAAAAAAAATCTAATGCCCATTCACGTCCCTTTTGAATAAGTTCCTTTAATTTGAATTATTTTATGCAAAAAATCCATGTAAGATGCACATTATTTCTTTGGCATATATTAAAAAAAAATAATTTTATAGTACTTTTGTCTTCTCATATATGATAAAAAAGATTCGAAGAAAAAAAGAAAAATATTCCATGAATTAATTTCAATGGATTAAATGAAAGAGAAAGATTTTTTTCATATTGAACGTTCCCATAATACCTGGGCGAATCTAACGACAAATGTATAATATGTAAATGCAATGAAAATGCTAGTTATTGGAAAAATAAATAATTAAACTTACATTACAACTGTGATTGATAAACCTTGCCAAATTACCACACTTGGTTGCATCAATGATGGTATCAAGATCAATTCGAAAGAGGTAAGAGCTACCAATGCCAGTAGCTTCATATTGCGACTCTCTCAAATCGGCGACAATGGGTCTAATCATCTGACCAACATATTCAATGACCATTTCATCAGCGGCTATTGGTTCCATAGCAAATAAACCCCAGTCATGAATACCGGACTTGGCGAACTTGAGCTGTTTCTTTCGGAACTTGAGTTGATTGAATTTAAGAAGATCACTGTCAGTATCAATTCCAAAAGCAGTTAGCAAACGACGCTGATTACTTCTTGCTTCGCGTGACAATGCCTGCATTTTTCCTGTTAACGCCTTATTTACTGATTTTGAACTGCTTATCATACTATCGCCAGCACCGTGCATGCTCTCCTCTATTTCATTGACCCTTTGGATACTTTGTGCATAATGATGTTTGTGTTTAAGCTTTTCTCTGAGGTCAACTTTGTAGAAACCTTCGGATCTTGCGCAACCAGTCGCATGTACTCTAAGTTCATCTCGTTTTCTTTTTTTAGCTGGACTTGGTACATCTGTCACCGGATAATCCACCCAGTGTGTATCGTTCAACCAATAACCTTGGGTATCATCGGCTAGCAGAGAATTGTAACTACGCTTCAAATATTCAATGTCTTCTGCATCGACTCCACGAGTTAAAAATTGATAAAGTACACTCAGTTCAGCTATAAGGGCGCGCTCTTTATAAATAACTGGTTGATTTTCAAGAATTTTATTCAGAAACTGTTCATTCTGAATATTTTCTTTCTCTCTTTCATGATTATGATGAGTTGTTAATTTAGCATTATATTTGTTCAACTTTCGTTTCTCCGTGCGTTCATTCGATTTATCGTGTTTTTGTTTCATTTGTTTTGCAATCTTGACAGGTGACACGTGAGATGATGAAGGTGGTGGTGGCGGTAGTGGTGGTAGTTGTTCAATTTGTTGTGGCACCTCAGCTGGAGGAAGGGAGTAGGAATGCTCCATATAAACTTGAGAAACCTGTGAACCCGGAGTGCTTGGACTTCGTTGGCCATGTCCACGAACGGCCTCTGATTGATAACGCAATCTGCGAACCTCAAGGCTTTCCTCTTCGGAATCAGTCGTAGGAATTTCAGAGAACATTTCAATTTTCTCCGACTCTTTGAGTATTGGCTCATCATTGATGTATTTTGATGACATGCTTTGCAGTATCCGAATAATATTTTGCTGAATTGGCCCTGGACTTTTGTGGCAAATGATACTATCACTGTCCTGACCTGCCAGGGCCATCAGTGCTTCCGCTGCGGAGGTTTCCATTTTTTCAATATCTCTCGTTTCCTCCATCATCGTTACCTTTGACTCTAAATTCTCGTAGGAAATAACTGATTTTTTATTATCAAAGGTTTGTTGAACGTCATATGGTGGTGATGGCAAGGGGCTCTCATCATTATCCATGTATGGAAAGTCATCTGGGATTTGATGGAGATCTAAAGGTGGAATGGGTGTATGTCTGTCTGGAGGGGTTGGACAATTTAGTGATCGTTGTATGGCTAACTCCATAAGAATATCAGGATCTTGACTATTACAAGCCAAAAGCCGATGACCCGAGCGTCTACTATCGGAATCCTCTTCTTCATCATCACTGCTCTCCCCAGAAGTTGCAGACTCTGTAGCAGACAAAGAGGCACTACTGCTGGACGATGAAGACGAAGAAATTGACGAGGCACTCGATGGTAATATACGTTTGGATTTTGATGTATCAATGGATACTTCGAGATCACTGTCGCTTCCAATGAGTTCTGTATCCATTCGATCTGATTGATGACTGTCCTCATCCTGGGGCACCGGACTCGGTGCCTTAACCTTGCGCCGGAATGACGGCATTTTAGGCATACTCGCTCTTATACCTAGGCCAAAACCATCATAATTCAGACCCAAAGGAGTTGCTTGTTCCAATAATGAGGAGAGGGCTTGTTTCGAGGGCTCTTCTTTCATGACATTATTAACTGGGGCAGTTTCTCCTCGAACATGATTTTTCTCGTTCTTCTTTTCGTCCCACCACACTTCAAACAACTTAAACGCCGTATTTTCCACCATTCTCTTATTAAAATCCTTCTTTAGTATTTGCTTCAATTCATTAACCACTCTTGTGAGTACGCCGTTAATGGTCGGGCCTTGTGGATTGTCCTTTGATATACTTTGATTAACTATTGACTGGAACCTAGATTGAAAATTGGCGTAATAACTGGTAGTCTGGTGGGATCCTACAGTGCCGGTAAGTGTTGTTGACTGGTATTGACTGGGTAAGTAAGGAGAGACGTATGAATAGGGATACTGTGCAGGTCTTGGCCAACCGTACACGTCAGCTTGGGAATAAGGATTCAGATGACCAGGATAACCAGCTCCTGAGTACAATTGATTCGTTGACTGAGCAATGACTTCCTCTATTTTTTCATCACCGGAGCTCAAAGGACTCAATGACATTCTATCATCATCTGGTGGTGGTGGTGGGGGTGGTGGGTCTTTGGGTGGTTCGGGTTCAGTTTCAACAGCTGGACTATAACTACCCATTAGTGCTTCGTCTTCGCTCGAACTTATCACACTACCCAAATCCTCGTCAACTGAAAATTTATTCACATTATTTTCTCGTATTTTTTTACGTTCACGGATACGTTCAGTCTTTTTTTCAAAACACTCTTTGTACATTTCAGCAGAAACAAATGGACTGGGTGGTTCAGACAACGGTTGTTCATCTTCAGGCGTTTGGGACTTTTTTTCGTCTTCAGAATCACTGCCAAATTGAAGGAAAGGTGGTGCCATACCACCGGCTTTATCCTTAAGTAGCATCGCAATTCTTGTATCAAGATCTAATGTCTTTTTCATTTCCACTGGAGAATCGCCCGATGAATTTTTAACTATCGAGCCTTTGCTCTCTTTATCCTTCTCTCTTTCTTTATTGGAGGTAGTATGAAAGGTTTTAGATGGATTTGAAAGTTTTGACAGTGAAGAATTATGTATGGGCGTAGATGGTGGTGGTGCATGTGTTGGCCAGAGTGTAAAATTGCTAGTTGAATTTCCAGGCCACCATACGCCTGAATTCTGTTGAACAGGTGTCATACCAATTGAGGGTGGATGTATTCCTGGAATATAGCTGTTCGATTGATGGTGGTAATTGGAGTAATAATAGTCATAGCTGCTGGCTGGTGTCGAACTATGGGAGTATGTGCCAGAGTAGTTAAGCTCACTAGGTGCTGTCCCATAGCCGATGTCACTCCCACTACTACCACCTGGGGTTGGATAATCCCTGTACTTAGTTGTGAATCTTGGCGTTTCTATATAAGGCGTGGAATCTGATCTCGCCTTATCTACAATGCTTTTTTTACTTCTGTAATCGTCACGATCATCACTTCCCTTTTCTATTGGTGTATTTTTTTCCGATTCAACCTCTATTTTCGATTCTTTTTCCATTTTTTTCTCTGGTTTCTTCTCAACAGTCATATCGGCATAAATTTTTTTACATTCCTCACCAAATGCATCGAGAAAGACTCGTAAAACTTTTCCCATCACAGACGTATTATTCAATTTTTCAACGCACCCTTTCGATGCCTTTGTCGTTTCAAATACAACACGAGCGATTCCCAGATGTTTATTTGTCATTGGATGATAATATATGGTTAACTCCTCTACAGCACCAAATTTTAGTACCATGTCACTGAGAAATATCCTGTCAATATTGTCATTTAAATGGCAAAACGTCACTTCGAGTGGTGGTGGTTCACCACAATAATTGGCATCAATTTTAAATCGTGGCACTGGTAATTCTAATTGTTCTAATCGTGTCCATATCCTAGTTAGTGGAGAGCGTGGGTCACGTAATTGTATTGGTACTTGGGTCGGATCTCCAGGCACTATTCCATCGTATCTGTACACTTTGGCAGCGCCTTTCGTCAGGAAGGGGTCCACCAAGAGTTTATAATTTCTCATTTTCTGGGCTGAAGTTGAAGTTGATGATAACGGTTGGGAAGGTGGAGCAACCGTTGGCAGTTGTTGTAATTGCTGTTGGGATCCTCCGCTTGGCGTTTCTTTCTGTTGATGTTGATGTTGCCCATGGCTGTGTTTCAATTGACTGCTATTCTGCATAGATTGCCCACTATGACACGAAGAAGATGCATGGTGATGGTGGTGATGATGATGGTGGTGGTGATGTGAATGGCCTTGACCATGTCCATGTTTCTCCATACCGTTCATTATTTCCAAGCATCCTCCATAAAGATCAACTTGGTGTCAGGTCCCTGAGAACATTTACCCTATTTTATTATGAAAAAAACCTGACTATTATCTTTATCATGTTCTCTATTCATTCTAAATCGTCTTCAACGCTCTTTTACCCTTTGACAATTGAAATTACGAGTGCATAACCTCAAAGCTCCAACTTCGGAGCACGTTGAATGCCAGTGAAAATATCTATGCTCTCTTGGATTCAAAGTAACAATAAAACATTTTTTATCATATCTAGACGATGATAATTTTCTCTTTAGCGTATTTCTGTGGAAATAAATTTACAATCTTCTTAAAATACATCTAGAAGACAATGTTAAGGGTACCTTCCATTCAACTAAGATTCCGAACCACTACCATTTTATTCATCCAGCTGACGTCGAAGAAAATATCACATTGGTGAATTTATCAAAGGTAATCGATTGTAGTGTCTTCCTCGGAGATTATTCCTTTACTCAATTTCCTTTTTGTATTACTTTGCTGAGGTAAAATTTCGGATAAATGTTAGCTGCGCGCGAGACTCTATGCGAACGAACGGTATGAGTTCTGATTTGTTACTGAAAACTGAAGTGCATACTGAATATAATAGATATATATATACATATATACATATATATATATAGGGTACTGTGATCTCGTGAGCTTGCCGCAGTTGTCGATTCGTCATTGGTAAAGCAGGACACTGTCGGGTGACACACGCATACAAGTGTTCAAAACCTTCAAAACTAATGTCAAAATTCATACATATAGATATATGTATATATATATATATATATATACAATGAAATCTTTTTATATTCAATTTATCGTTGCATGAATTACTACGGAAACGACTGCCAATAGACGACTGCAAATTTCAAAGTTGAAAGGTAAACAGTTGCAAATAAAAAAGAATTGATACATTACATGATACATTCATGAAGCGATTACAATGCGTGGACCCGTATAGTTGTCACAGATTATAAGGGAGATCACCAACGCTTATGGTGAACGTTCGACAGTGAATTTCCTAGCGGCGGCTACGGAAGCAAATCACAGGCCGTTCCCGTGAATAAGGCAGGGCACGAGGCCGAGCATGTCGATAACGGCGTACGAGGGGTAGAGACCGAGTGGGGAGAATCGAGGCGATTGGGGAGTTAAAGTGGGAAATCCTCACCGGCGGAACATAATCGGGGAACTTTGAAGCGTCTAGTAATCTACAAGTAATTCGCTCCGCTTTAAAAATTAATTTCTTCGCTCCTAATTAATATTAAGAGATGAAGCTTATTGCGTTTGATTAAGAATTAAATTCTACACCGATCAACCCCTTAATCTCTGGAATAAAGAAATTAAAACATCCAGGAATGGCACCGTGCTGAGGGAAACCGAGTGGTTTCCGAGTACTGAGTGATTGAAAAATAATTCACACGCCAATCAAAAATTTGCCCTTTCGTTGCTCATTAATACCAAGGGATGAAACAAACTGTGTTCGCTGGGAAATTCAATCCTCCATCCATCAACACCCATTCCATCTCTTAATCTCTTTGAGGAAAACATGAAAACATCGCCAAAATGCATCGTGCGCTGAGGAGCATCAACTCGTTTACGAACGCCGAGTGAAGGTGGATTTGTTTACCCTCTCTTTCGCTCTCACATATTCTCTACGAACACATGATCTCGAGAAACCCGCCATTCCGAGAATGGACGGACGAAGTATTGGGATGCTGTCAGAGCGAGAGAGTGAAGAGACAAATCCTCACCGCTCTCAAACTAAATTTGTGCCTTATTCTGCATAACACAATCACGAAAGATTTTTTTTAATACATTGATGACACTGTGAGTTGTTTTTTCAGATTGAAACTACATCCGACTTATTCTTCTCTTTTACGAAATCGATGAATTTTATGCTTTGAAAACATTTGCAACTTGTGTTTCCGCGAACTGAAATATCGAATCGTAGGAAGGGACGTTCTCTTCAGATTTCCCTCTGATTCCAATCGACGTTTTCTGTAAATCAATAATGGTGGTAAGTACATCTATGTTAAAATTTATTGAAAAAATAATATAATCGTGATGAATTTAACGCCATGACTTTCGTCGATATTTTAATTTTTTTGTTCCGGCGATGAGGGGATGAAACGAGTGTCGATGGATGAAGCATTTAATTCTTCATCGAACTCCATTGGCTTCATCAGTTAATATTAATTAGGGGCGAAGAGATAAATTTTTAAAGCTGAGCGAATTACTTATAGATATCATTGGGCGCTTGCAAGTTTCTCTACTTATTTTCCGCCGCAGAAACCTTTCCACTCTAGCTCCCAAATCTCCTCCCTTCCCCCTACTCTATCGCTATTTTTCCCACGCCGTTATCGACATTCTCGGTCTCGTGCCCTACCATTTTCACGGGTAACGCTTCTGATTTAGTTCCGTAGTCGCCGCTACGCGAATCGCTGTCGAACCTATACCATAAGCGTTGCTTATCTCCCATATATAATTTACCCCCTTGTACTTAGCTGAAAGGGTACAATAATTAGGAAAAGTATCTTATGTATTCGATTGTACATCATTAGTACATTATTGTACTAGATTTTTTTTGTTTGTACATTCCTGATTAATTGATTAAATAACAAATTAATAATTCTCATTCGCCCCCCACCCCACACGATAGTTCCTGTGTTGTGTGTGGTCATATGTATACTTCATTTTGTTATTTTCTACTTCAATTACAAACATAAAATTGAACACCAATACATTTGATAAACTATCAATTGTTTCAATTAAATATGTTTCAAATATGATCATATTTATTATCATGTTCGAAACATGTTGAATTGATGGTTTGCCAGACTTCGTGGAGTTCAATTTTATGATTTTTAGTATATATAATATATAACCGCACAAAACGCAGTGGGGGGCGAATGGGAATTATTAATTTGTTATTTAATCAATTAATCAGGAATGTACAAACGAAGAAAATATGTAATTCATGATGTACGAACAATTTCCTATCGAATTGCCTATTTATTTAACTCATTGAGCAATTTTTCATTTTATTCCAGCCAGCATGATGGTAAAAATCGAATAATTATTTATAATTAATAAGTGAATGTACAAACAAAAAAAAATCCAGTACAATCATGTAATAACGATGTACAATCGAATACATAAGATAATTTCCCTAATCATTGCATCCTTTCGGCTAAGTAGACGGGGGTTGATAATTTCTGTATTTACGTTTGATAAAGTCAAACTAAATTTGTGAAAATAATTGTAGAGAATCGATTGAGTGAATCTCATTCGCTTTAATTAGCTTCTTATTTATAATAGTAATACTTTTCATCTCGTCTTGCTTTTTTAAAGTATATCATTGCTAATTTTTGTGTGTATGTCAGGCATTGTGGTAAATCAAATGAACTTTGGCAATGCGTTACGTGCGTTACTCTATCTGCGTAATAATATGTGCGTTACACATATGATGATAATTTTAAAAATTTTTGAGATTAATGCATGACAATTTAGCACCTGTTTAGTTCCAAAAATTTTCACAAATTATTTATTAATCTTATGTTTTTGTGCTCAGTAACTAAAATTCGAGTTATGCTGGAATTTCTTTTAGGCTCTGACATAGTTATCTGTGCAATAATTATAAAAGGTCATATAACTCAGAAATAGGAGAGGGCTTTGCCTGGAGAAACATCCGATTGTGAACGAAAAATAATTTCACGTTTATAAATTGAAAATTTCTTTACTGAATTGTTAAAATATCGCCGGGCAAATGTGTATTTCAACGATTGATAATTCCTTGACAAGTCGAGAATTATTGATCCCCCAATACTTTTTTTTTTCAGCGGCTTCACTTTTGTTAACAAATTTAAAATTGGTTCAACAAATTCTTAAAAAATCTTCACGCAAATGTGTACTCAAACTGACTGACTGTGAATCACCTGGAACGTCGAAACTTATTTGGCTCAGAACTTTTTTTTAACGGTTCTATCTTTATTGACAAATTAAAGAATTGTTGAACAAATGGGGGAAAAATTGTTGCGCAACTTGATGCTCAAACAATTGAGAATGTCCTGAAACGTAGAAATTTATTGGTCCCTCGGGACCTTTTTTTATCAATGGTTCTATTTTTCTTAACGAATTCAAAAATTGGAAAACAAATGAGGGAAAAATTGTTCAACAAATTTAGACTCAACCGACTCATAATAGTGTAAAACATCGAAATCTATTTGCCCCTCACGACCTTTTTTTTCAACGGTTCGATTTTTCTTAACTTAACTTAATTTGAAATTTGTTGAACAAATGGGGGAAAAATAGTCTCGCAAATGTACACTTGAACGATTGAGAATGGCTTGAAAAGTTGAGATTTAATGGTCCATAGGAGCCTTTATTTTTCATCAATTTCATTTCTGTTATACTTGGCGAACAAATAAAAAATTTCGGAAATTCTCATTTATCAATAATTTACCTACTAATTTGCCAAGTATACGGCCGTGTGAAACAATCATACCAATTTGATTGATTAAAAAATTAATTGTCAAGGGCCCGAGGAATAGGTACACTCAGTTCAAAATGTTTGAGTCAGCGCAAGGTAAATCGCAGAAATGTCAAGCTACAGAAAGTCAAAACTGAGCGCATGTCCTTTAGAACAGAGGTGGGCAACCTTAGCTCTTGGAGCTACTCCAGCTCCCGACCTCCATTAGGCAAAATTGTCCCAACCCATAAAGTTCATGACTGCACCCCTTTCGGACCCATGATGCTCTGCACGTGGGCAAGAGTGGTGGGGATATTCGGCAGAAACTTGGTGGTGGGAAAAGTGAAATAGAATAATTTTCTATTTCACTAATGGAAATTTTTTTTTAATTATTTTTTTTTGTTGTTATCCTTTTGATTGGTTATTGGTTGCTTTTAATCGTTTTTATAAAAAAAGATTTTCTACCTTTCATAGATTTCTTGAAGTAATTTTGATATTATAATTGAAATATTGTTTGGAAAATAATTATTAAATATTACCATGATGTCAATAGACCTGACTTGACATGCATTTTCAAACTTTTCCTTTCTATATTTCCCGCTCTCACTGCCAAATAAGAAAGAGAAAACCATTTTGCCCTCACATTTTAATCACGTAGATGCGTCATCCCCCGATGTTACTCCCACCACACAAATATACGACAACCCTTGTAATCACGTTAGGTTCCTTATAATTGGAACCTTAATAATTTTATGACTGCAGCTCCGAGCCTACCTGAGGTTACCCACCTTAAAAAGACATGACGCTAATCCAAAATTTCAATATCATGAAGTCCATAGCCACTGAATTTGAAATTTGGCAATTAAGTGGTAAGATTTATTTGTGGGAAATGATGAATATTTTGAAAAATTTTTACTCTATCAAGTGAAGTGAATAATAATGGAACCAATAAGAATCTGTTGAAGCAAACATGTTCAACGATGTTTGAATAGATTAGCTCTTTGCACGAGTCAAATAGAATTAAATTCATAAAAAATTTCGGTATTGATTCAAACATTGTGATAGTTTTTCATGATAATAGAAATATATTGTATGAAATATGTTGGAAATGTTGTTTTTATGATATTGTTTATTATGTATGTACTTCAAGCATTTCAAGATACTGAAGCCATCAGTATCCATAATAATCCGAAGACCATTCAGTATGGCATGTTTAGGCATGGAGCTCTCTTCAATTTTCCTTGATGATATGTCAGTTCAGGACATTATTAAGGTAAAACATAATGTTAAATATATAACTCAAGAAATGAGTATCGTATAAATACTAAAACCTGAAAGTGTCTCATTTAATACACTTGACAGAACGAACATTTTTTAAAAATATTGTTTTCTACGGACGAACTTTTCTGTTTTCACTGCTAAATTCCTGAATAATTGACCATACATTTTGTACTATTCAAATTTCTAACTTAAGGTCACGCCTTTCTAGTGCGGGTGCGCATATTTCTACCACTCTGTCACTTGAACTTTCTTCGCGTTACTCCGCGCGTATGAAAAGATTTCGGGCTGACTGTACCTCAGCCATAAGTTTTAAGTCACAGAAAAAACGCACAGAATCGCTCCCCTGCTGTATCGGCTAAGTATTCGGGGGCGTTTTCTCTAATAGATACATTTAATTCTGCAAGATGGCAGGCCAGTGCTGAAAAAAATGTCAGTTATTTTTCATTACGATAAATGAGAACTAATAAATGAATTTTATATGGATAATTCTTAGTATTGAATGACTACACGACTGTTTAAAGTGGTTCAATAATTGATTGTTGATACAGCGAAGAGCAGCTTAGAGTCGGAATCTGTATGTAGTAGCAGCTAGTGAACGGGAAAGTGACAAATGTCAAAAATGAGTGACGTTGCTTGGCATATTTTTCAAGTAGTACGTTTAACCCTCCAAAATGGTGAAATGACGGAACAGATGACATGAAAGGAAATTTTAATGTAAAGGTTTTATAAAACTGTGTGGATAGACTGATGTTATCGTATAATAATCATCGAAACGGGGATATACTGAAAATTAGTGGAAAAACGCTTTGCACCTAACCAAGAAACGGCCAGATATCAGATATCCAGGCATTTCATCTTACTAATTTTCAATTATATTTATTACCAAGTGCTGCTGAACCTCGAAATTTGAAGTGTGTTAAATAGTCAAGTGGTGAAATTAATGGAAAGTGAAGGTTTGATCAAACTGATTGGTAAATGATTTGTCGCATTGGCTTTCAAACAGGAATCTATCCTAACACACAATAACATGGAAAAATTCGCAGTTGATCTTGACAAAGTCCTCGATGATTTTGAGTTCCATGAAGGTGACTTTGTTTGATTGTCTATCCTCCATTGTATTGAGAATTGCTTTTCGAAAATTGTTTTCCATTCCATGAATTATTAGTATAACATATGTGATTTCTCTGTAAAATACCAATGTATAAAAAATTCAGTAGATAAAGATAGGTCTTTGCTAGAAAATAATGGCAGATATTTAGATTATAGTCTTTCTTCTAATTCAATTCAAATTTAGAGGTGTCATAGTTTTCATTTAGAATACATGCCCTGCAAATTTTTAAATGGGTTTGTTTTTGTTGACATTATGCATTGTTTATGTGTCTTTGGATGCTCGAACAAAAGAAAGGTGCTTCACTTCTTCTCAAATTAGGGGCAAGGGGTGTGAAATGAGAGTTGACTGTAATACAAATTATACCACAATTATGTGCTTTTTACATGCGCCCGACGAACCAGCGACAAACTGTGCTGGCTATAAAGAAAAAATCAAGTTTACGGGTTGAAAAATCAAAATTCAAGAAATCGGTCATATGAATTCGAATAGAATTATGCCGCTTTATTAGTGCTCCCAGGAGGGGGGGGGGGGGGGGGGATGAAAAGGTAAAAAATCTATATTGAAAAAATCACCGATTGGGGCGAAAATTTCCTTCAGGAGCGAGGATTTTAGGAGAAACACGGGACTTTTCTTCTGTTATGCCGGCTCTTGGCACCAACAACCCTAAAATCAAAATATAAAAATAGATCGTTAGGTGCCAGGTCATTAGACGGAATGACCACCGTCGAAATTTGTCTCCACTTCCAGCCTTTATAACTCCAATAACTTGATAGGTAGCATGATAGACATTCAATTGTCGTTAGACGCTGAAAGGGGATGTGACTGGGATATTGAAATTCAAACAAAATAAATCCATGCAATTGCGGGGAGAAAATTTTTGAATAAAATCAATTAATTTCGATACAATAAAAAAAACAATAGAAAAGAATTAATAAGATCCCCTTTAGAGACGATTCCGCGCTACTAATAAAATTCAATATTTTCTTGGACAACTATCGTCTAGTTCATTCAACATCAGTTTTCTGAAGTTTACGAATTTTAAATAAAAAAGAATAATAAATAAATAAGTTACTCAGAATTAATAAAATATCATGAACGACTGAGTTACGAGACTTTGTTGTTATAGGTCAAGGAAAGTCAAAATTAATCAGAAACTTTTACAGAAAGTAGTCGAAATAAAATTCAATGGCTCGAAAGCCCAATCGATAAGTCTACGTGATCTTCCAACTCGAAAAATGAAAGCAAAATGCAGACAAATTCAAGATCGATAATTTCGGGGCCACGTAACCTTCAAACTAAATAAAATCAGAATTTCATTCTATGGCGAGAAAATGATCAAAATCCACGCCATTTAGAATCAAGATAAAAAATTAACGAGAGAGATGGAACCAAAAATTCCCTGATCAAAATGGCCAGAGATTCTCTCATGCAAATTTTCAACTAATAGACCTGCAGGACTTCGATATTCTAAACATCAATAAAGAAACACACAGAATCTCTGCCCACAACACAATAATTAATAATACAGAAGAAACGGTCACCTCCCCCACCCCGCGACCCCTTAAATCCTCAATAAACTCAGCAAATATCTTCCACGACTAGTAAAGTCTCTAACGTCGTCAGGGATGGCGACGTTAGAGCTCTAGACGTTAGGTCTAGCGTTCTCGACATCCAAAATTATCACAGGTCCGTCTCTAATGCCCGACAAACGGAAACTGATTGGTGGTGACGTCATTATCCACCAGTCCCAGTTATTCAGACATACGCGACAGATACAATTACTTTTAAGCGCATGCGCTCTCAATTGGTGATGCTTCAGATACATTTTTTTGTTTATAATGAATGAGAATAAATTCTCAGTATTGCCTAAATTAAACCAAATCTATCCCTGTGTTAAACACTACCTTGAGAGAATAGTAACTCTCATTCTATTCTTTTCGTGCCTTTTTTTCTACGGATAATCAATCAGCCTCGTATTTGGTGAACTACGTCACATCTGTGATAATGACGACTGGATTGAGGCCTCATCCACGGCCATGTCCAAAATTAGTCCATGACAAGATGACGAAGGAGTCCGATGATATTTTTTGGTCTCGTGGAGATTCTTGAAGTTGTCTTCGAGTAAAGCGCAGTGGCACGTAATTTTGAGTTGAAATAAAAAACAAATAAAATTAGTCTAATTCCTCTCCTCTCTCAAGACTCTCGCCATCGAAATGTCGGCATTCAGAAATGTCCAACCACTTCATTACGCCAACCTCGTTCAGAAGAATTGCTGCCACCTTGAAGAGTCCCTTCGCGTTCGCGACCAGCCTTTTGCTCTCATCTGTTGCCGCTGGGCTGGCCGCAACCGCGACTACATGATCTACCGCTTAAGTCTCAGCTTTGGACCTTCTCCCATCAAACCTTTTTTCTGGGCTGCCCATTCGCCGTCCGTCGAGACCTTTGTTTCTTTCCACATTTTCCTCAAAGTCACTTGGTCTCACTTCGTTTGGATCCCTGCTTGAAGATGTGCAACGTGACTCTACGTGGGTACCACAGCAATAATTGACTCTTAATGACACGAGTGGCACTCCGAATATGGTAAATCATTTTCCGAGAGCTTTAATGACATACTTATTTTTTGTGTTTCTAAGTGGCTCTAATAGGCTAAATTTCGTGAATGCATCTATTATCTACTGTATCTGTGTATCTCGCATCATAACATACTTTGAGATAAATCATCGCATTCCCTGAACCAATAGTTTTTTAACCTTCTGTAAGGTCCTGTCAAACCCAAAGTGACCTTGGTCATCATTGCATAGTTTAACTATGTAAAATCACGATATCCTCGGCACCAGCCACTTATTCCATTCTTTCGTTCTCAGGAAGACAGAAGACAGTGCTTGTGGAAATAATGTTTTACTCCAGCTTCTATATATTACCGCTCTTCAAAACTTCTCTAATAAGAAATACGATTTTCGATTCCCCCTGACTGCTGGTACAGTTGTCAGGGCTATATATACGCTCGCTCTGGCAATCTTTGTAATGATCCCATAATGTCAAAGGCATTTATTCCATTCCCATTCTACCCCTTCTGGGTAGATGATTTTGTGGCCTGATTAAACACCCCAGATTGACGCCTTCCCGTGCTCCTAAGACTTTTACTAGTCTAGAGACCTCGGACAGACTCCCGATAGCGCTGCTGAACTTTTTTAAATGTCGCTCCTGGCTTTCGTCAGACTTTTGTTGTACTTTCTTTGGGAACTCTTGCGCTCTTCCAGCGCTTTCCTCCTTTGTGTGTTAACACGCGAGTCTTTAACTTTGTTCTGTGTCTTTCTCAGTGGGATTTTCAGGCGGGCTAGCGTATTGTTCCACCAGCTAATCTTGGCGGTTCTCTGAGTATGAACGACACAGTTGTTTTCAAAGGAACATCTTACTGCCTCTACGAAGTATTCGACTGCGTGCTGCCGTTGTCCTTTGTTGGTGAATCTACTAGGTCCGTTTTGAATTTTTAGTGACAGTTCCTCTCTGGAACCCGTCCAGTCTGTGTTCTTTAGATTCGCTCGTTTACCTAAGTTTATCCCTCCAGTTAGGTTCAGACGTATCTGACTATGGTCTAAGCCTGAGTGTTTCTTTGAGACCCTCCAGTCCCTACCACGTCCACCGTGACCGCTGTGCCGATGGTCATGCTCATGAACTTGAAGAGGAAATATTTCATCATCAATTACTGATTAAAGGAGGCCGATAATGTTTTTGATTGTAAGAAATTTGTTCATTTTAATTTGGCGTCGAGAGCGGGAAATATCGAAATGAAAAGTTCGAAAATGCATGTCAAGTCAGGTCTATTAACAACATGGTAATATTTAATAATTGTTTTCCAAACAATATTTCAATTATAATTTCAAAACTACTTCAAGAAATCTATGAAAGGTACGAAATCTTTTTTCATAGAGACGATTAAGAGTAACTAATAACCAATCAAAAGGATGACAACAAAAAACACAATAATTGAAAAAATATTTCCATTAGAGAAATGGAAAATTTTTCTATTTCACTTTCCCCACCACCAAGTTTCGGCCGAATATCCCCACTATTCTTGCCTACGTGCAGAGCATCATCGGTCCGAAAGGGATATAGCCATAAACTTTGTGGCTTGGGACAATTTTGCCTAATGAAGGTCGGGAGCTGGAGTAGCTCCGAGAGCTGAGGTTGCCCACCTCTGCTACAGAAGATAGCTGCGGCGCTTTTGCGGCGATGTAAATTAATTTGGACTATCTTATACGTCCTGTGAGTCATTTCAGTGGGAGTCTTTCACGTTTGAGTAGCCCTGAGGGCCTCCTTCTTGAAGCGTCGCGTGGCTCGGCTCTATTTGATCCTATTTTTCGGTAGTCTAGAGATCTCTTGGTTATCCGTCTGGTTCTTGTTAGACCCAGACGGAGTTTGCGTAATTGCTTTTTCGTCCGGGTAGCGCTGCGCGGTTTGGGTACTTACACTCGGAGGTCGCCTGGCTCGCTGACGTTCCTGTTAGTAGCGCGACTACCCTAAACTATACTCTGTAGTACTCCCTTCACACCACGCAGCCTTCGGCACGCATTGAAGGCCTCATGACAGCGAAATATGACCACTGCCATGATGTTCCTGCATGTGACACCTCCTAACTGTCACATGGAGACGCGCTCGGTTGGTATAAAAGAGGTATTACCTCTTTGGGCAGTACTTTCGTGAATGTACGCATAATGTTTGCCGAAACAGTTGGCTTTTTTTTTACCCGATGTTAAATGTTTATTTGTGTCTAGTAAAGAAGAAATTTTTGGTTTACTTTAATTGCTAAAGATTTAACAATTTTCTATATTCATTGGTTTTTAATATTGATATTTTCGAGTCGATTATACCAACAACTGTTCCTCCAAGTTGTGAGCATGCTTTGAGATGCTGTATTCATTATTGAGTAGTATTCCATTACATAGTTCGTGATTCATACTTTTCAAAATTACTCTTCAATTGAAATTTACACTGTATAGGCGTTTTTCAAGGGGGATAACTCATATACAATGTTTAGTCTTCAACAAAATTTGTTAATGTTCAAATAATATTTTAATCCTGATTAATGGCCGTTAAGAAAAAAAAATATCTTCAACGGACATTTGAAGAGCGGAAGAAGAGGGAGGATGCGGGCAACAACATTTTAAGCCTTTCTTTCGTCCTGCTAATCTTGCAATCCGAAGGAAAGCCACGACTAAACAGTTTGAACCAGGCTGTTGGTCATCTGATCAACTGGGGAAAAGTCTTGGTCCTCAAATACCTTTTAGTTCTTCAGCCATTTACGATTTTTTGTCACTACTAAAATCGCACGCGAGGACCAAGAACCGCCCAACTCTTCATTTATTCTACGTAACTCCCAACGCTACTAGCACCCACGGCCCACTCAAGACAACACATTACCCACAGCACCTTGGTTTACAAGCTAATCCGGTGCAAGCTGTCACACCAAAAATAGGGGTTCAATTTCGCGTAGCCAGAATTTATGACTTCAAAAATGTCAAAATTTTGCCTCTTTAGAATCACACCCTCTCTTCTCCCACCGTCCATAAATCACCCCAATGTATTCGAAGGTTCTTGGCGCACCTGTCAGAAAAACGAAAAATGATAGTTGTCTAGCCAATTCCGTCCTCCTTCTTCAAACGCTTTCAGGAAATCAAAAAGAAAAATAACGTTAGTTCGGTTTTAAAAGTGGAGTGGAAGTGATTTTGTTTATTGTAATTTTGTGGCTCTCTAGCGTACACACAGCTCAAGTAAAATAAAATACAGCACTTTAAAATCTAGACAAACAAGGTGTAGTGTCGTGTTATCTAACTATTTCAAGAATACTCGGAAAAAATTCAGTGAAAAAAATCGCATCTCGAGTGCTATTCATTTTTTAATTCGAATGTATAAACCCTGAGTTGATACATACAATTTTGAAGAGCTTCGAAAGAGCTTTACAACGATATATCTAGAAAGTCGATTCTGTCCATTTGATCTCTATTCATGAGTGTTTGAATGTATATTTTCGAATGTCACACTTTCGATTTATGAACGAATTCGTTGTACGATAATTCTTTGAGTTTCATATCGATTGTGATGGTTCGTGTGCTAATTTGGAGCCCTTTAAATATGGTTCAAGATGATACTCTCGCTATCGGATTTGGTTCTGTGGCTCGTGAATGATGTATTATAAATCCATCTTGACACTCTATATCTTGGCTCTCATCTGACCTCATTGGCTGCATTACTCCCTTATGTTTCCATTTAGAAAGAAGGAATGAATTATTTAGAATACACACGAGTGAATTATTAATTTACGGCTTTGGAATGAAAGTGGAGGAATTGGAAATAATCATTGAAATACTGACATCACATAATGATTGGCTCCTTTAGTATCGATTCCGTCTCATCGTGCAATTCTATTGGCTGAAATTTGAACGCGAAAAATAATAATCCCTCGCATACATCTCGAGCTTTGAAACTAATTGAGTATCTCCCTCTAGGTTTCGCTTCGCGTTCGTAATTGTTTAACCTGGAAAACTTGACACGCTCATTTGTTTGCAACGAACCTATTGGGAAATATTCAATTATTTTGGACGCTCTCCTAGTATTATAAGTCATAATCGGATTGTTGTAAGTTCCTTTCATTTGAATCCGATCTAATGACATCAACGATTCTTCCAGATTGTGCAGAACAAGTAGCATCGATCGCTCCGAAGAATGTGTCCCTTCTCGATCAAAGAGTTAAGGATCAAGAATTACCCCGCCACGAGGTTAAAACTATACCATATGTTGATGAAGCGACAGGTCGGCAAGCCAAGGGTATTATCCGCGAAACAATTGATGTACGACAATCTGATGATATGCATAACAGTGAAACAGCCAAAAATTTTTGTTCATATAATTATCAAATTATTGATGATAAAGGCCAAGAAAAGAATAGAGTTGATTTTCGCGACAATGATGAACAATTTTCATCAACAATTCAGAACGACATAACCGAAAAATTGGTGCAGAAAAAACAAAATGATAATCAAATCACAACTAAAAATCGCAATACTTACGATAAAAAATTGAATCAGCCAAATATAAAACCCAGTGTGAGTAATGTTTTCAGTAGCTTGAACGAGTACATCAATGCATCTACCACGAATATGGAAAATATCGGGTGCTCCATAGATTGTCAGAAAGAATCAAGTGGAAAATTGATGGGTAATGCATGCGAAATTAAGGAAACCAAAATACCAGAGATTAACAAAGCAATACATACATTACCCGCATATCAAAATATTTTATTACCAATGCAGTCTCAACCATGTTCTAGCACTGACGATCCAGATAATGACACTGACACCCTTGAATCGAACATATCTGTAATTCACGATCGCCAGCAAGACACACGGGATTGTTCCGATCATATCTATGAAAATATACAATTCGGTCGGAATATTCCAATGTCGAACACATCAAAAGTTCAGGATACTTGGAGATCGTCAAGTCAGGATGAATCGAAGCATATTTATGAAAATGTAGATTTCAACCACTCAAACTTAGGGCAGGGTGATAATTTGGTTTATGGATGTGTTTACATTGGCGATAAAAATATGCCGGAAACAACAACTGAGCTAGAAAAATCTTCCAAAAGATTAACTGAACAATTGTCAGAGAATACTGTTTGTTCCGTTGACAATAAATTGAACGGACGACAGAGTGAATCTCCTGGTAGTGTCAGTTTGACACCAAATATTTTTCAAAGCGTTAATTTGAATCTAACACCCGAGCGGAAGTCAGTCGGTTTTTCTACAATTGATGATTTGTCCGAAGAGGAATTGAATAAATATCTAACAGAATTGGAGGCCGAAGAAAGAGCCAATGAAGAAATAATTTCATATGAGAATCTTTCCGTAGCTGGACCATCTTTTTCTTCTCTTCAAAATGTAAAGGAGCAAACACCATATATTTCAAGTAATCATGCTGATGAAGATGCTAATGAAGCTCCGATTTTTGAGAGTGTGACTATTGGGGAGCTTCCTAGAGTACCCGAGGAAAAACTTCAAGAGAAAGCCAAGAAATTACGGGTTATTGATTACAGTAAAAGTGGTACTAATGCTGAATCAAATCGTTTTTTAGGAAAACAGACATCGGAAAAGCGTCACCATTACGCCAAAGTGATGACGGACGTCCAGGGAAAATTTTTACAAAGTACAGAAGTTACTAGTAAATTAGCTGCAAATGAGATGGTATCAGAGAATGAGAGTCAACAACTACGTGATCAGCTTATCCATAATACGACGCAGGAGAAAGTAGTGAAGATTACTCATATACCAGATACGAATATTTCGGAGGAAGAGAGTACCCATCAAGTGAGTAAAAATAATGTTAATTCGGAGGATGGATACATGACCAGTGCGTATGCAAGTTCAAACGAAACGGAGAATGATTTCAATAAAACTCAAGAGCAAAAGGCTATTGCTAATAACCAAAATACCGACCATGTCATTGGAAATAATGCACCAGTTGAAGATTCGCAGAATAGTGAAGACAATGTTGACAAATCATTGAGACCTCAGACATTGGATATTGTTTCGTCCGCCAGTATGCAGCTGTCTCCAGTAATAAGTAATGTATTTTATTTTTTCAACGATAATTATGTGTAGGAAATTTCCATAGAAAAATACCGTACTTTGCCGCAAGAATTCCATAAAAATTTGAGTGAAAGGGCGATTTTCTTTATTACTCGATCAATACTTAGGAGAGAACAGTTAATTCATCTTTATTTTGCTATTACCATGCAAAAGCAAACAACAACAAGTAGTGCATTGTATAAATGACATTTTGCTATACTACTTTGCTTCTCAGTGGGAAGTATTGTATACGTCAAATACGAAATTTCCTATATTTTGTGTCAGGATAACAACTTTGGCCTTGGAAGTTTGACCATCTTATTTTTCTATTATCGCTTGAACATCAATTGTTTGAAGCATTAAGATGCATAAAATAACGGGAGGGAGGTACACTTCACAATAGCTCCTTGAGAGAGATGAGGCAACCGCAACCAATTTAGACGGATTTATATATTTCATTCGATAGATAAACTATTTCACTCCTAAGATTCATAGTAGCATATTCGTTTTTGTTTTTTACTCAGTTTACAGTTAGTTTCGAATGCGTTAATCGAATGAAACCAAAAATTGTAATAGAAATGTCAAATTGTATTTTCTGTTCGTTGTTTTTTCTATTACCAATCTCAGATTAATGGGATCCTCCCTGAGACATAATCTTAGGGAAATGTTAATCGATGATTTTCAACAAAATGAAAAAATTGTTTTTACTTCTATATGAATGCATGACTCAACTTTGGGTTGACCACACAGAACCTTAGATAGAATTTGGCCTAATCGACATGGCGCCGACTTTGCTAGAAAATAGTCCCCATTAATGAACGCTCATTAGAGCAAAACGATGATAGGTGCACGAGTTAGTGAAGTATAAAATGGAGAAACTAGTGAGGTGATTTTCACGAAGAAGCACATTGTAAACATGATGTATTTCTACTACAGGCAGAGAGGCAGCGAATTATCTCTTTTGTTTCTTTATTGATGAAGTATACATACATACAAGTATTTCTGGGTGTGTGTGTATATATACAAGTATATACATATATACACATCGGGCATTTCATGTAAACTCAACATAATCAAAACCGTGGGCATCACCGATCATATTGTCAATTTTTTTCAATGATGAGTGTTAACATCTGGGCACTCCAAGCAAACGCGTAGAATACTTCAATACTCTCCCTACCCACGTAAATCTGCTTAAAGCATTTCGCCTTGAAGACCTTCTATCGAATTTCATCTGAACCACTACATCTTCTGTTCAGATGGTGCCGATCTTCGTCTGTCGATTCGCATTGTTGGCATTGGGCCATGCCTTTTGGTCATCCTTGGCAGGTACGAAGCAAAGGACCAGTACCTACTGATAAGCCCCACCAGGGAGCAGAGTTTCATCTTGTTCATGCCCACCAGTGCTTCAGATAGCTTTCTCGTCGATTTATACAAGAGGTTTCTTGTGTGTTTGGCACCGTTCCCAGAGCACCACCTCTCCCCAATTCCCTTCTCTGCTTGTTTTCGGATTAGGTGATGGTGTCAATGTGCACAACTACATGATCTTTCCCTGTGGGTGTGGCATTCAAACATCCATTTTAGCTAGATCATTAGCTTTTTCATTACCGAGGATGGCAGGATGGGCTGGAATTTACATAACTTCAAGCCGATTGTGAATAGCGATCCTCTGCATTAGCTCACTGCAGTTGCTCACTAGTCGAGAATAGCTCTCGTACTTGAGCAGTGCCTTCACAGTACGCCTACTATCTGAGTAGATGTATATTATAGTGCCCCTCTCCTTTCTGTCGAGGATTTCCTCGATGCACGGTCGCGTGTGTGTCCAATCTAATAGTCCTTCTAGTTGAAGGGCTAAGGGCATAGACCAAACCTCCGCTCCCGCTCGGTTACCAATCCTGAGGTCATTCGTACACCAGACTAGTCTCTTGGGGTAGCTCATACTGTGCATCATTCGCTGACTATTCCTCAGCATTCCTTTACCAAACTTGATCTTAAATTTTTAGTAGAGGTGCCAAGTGCAATCCATATGTATCAGCGTCGCCTCCCTTATATTAAGATGGGGTGGTTACAGAACAGGCAGAGCCGACGTAGAGGTCGTCCTTAGTGCCCGTGCTATGCGCAACATTGAAAGTTGACTCGGCCTATCTACTGCTCCGCTATGTTCATGGCTGTCACCAGACAACAGCAGCGTACGTTAGGTGTGTTCACGACTCTCGGCTTGGGCTCCTACATGTTTCCGCACATTTTCCCGACGCTTTCGTTTCTTGCCTGTAAGGCTTGATCGGATAGCCCTTCTTGAAAGTTTTAGTATGGGCCTGTCGATTCTCTCCATTTCATCCTCTAACCTGTACAGGTTACTAGACCTTATTCGTCCTTTACTCAGTCTTCCCTCCAGTTCTCCTCTGAAAGAGACCCACTCAGTAGCCTTGCAATTTTTCCGCATAAGACGTTGTTTCAACGCAACAGGGCCTCTATGCGCGTCAGTTTGCGATCGCACAGCGTAATGACCCCCTGGCATCTTGGGGTGACAGAGGTGGTGCTGGATCCTCTATTCAGCACCGTAGGTTCTCAGGACAATCCTAGAATATAAAGATCCATTCCAGCAGAACTTGTTTACTGGCCTAAGACCGGCATACAATGAGGTACTGACCTGTGCCTCAAGGGTTTCGTTCGTGATGATATTCACCAGTACCACTCAACCTTTGGCACCATAATTCTCAGCTTGGCTTGGGGATTCGAGCTGCAATGGTGTTTTAGGGTGCCCTGTCAGGAAGTCACTCCATTAATTATCTCGGCAATCAACATTGGCCAAGTTTCTGAATCGGCCACCGTAATCCCGTCTCAAGTGCTTCTCAGCGCCGCCTCTGGTCCTTCAGCATCTCCACAGACACTCGTCTGTTTACGAGCGCATCGAGGGCAAGGAAATGAAGATTTATTTATGCATGCGTTAAAAATTTTTGATGATTGCCAGGTCTTCTCTATGTTTTCAATGCTTTACATCATTTTCCGCTCTTGAAAATCATGACGTTACGAGACCTACTGCGCACTCCGTGCGCCGAATGTGAATTTGGCGGTTCGAGTTGACCAATGAGGAATTAGCTCTGCTCGTTTCGAGATATTTCGATTCGGGCGAACTTCATTTTTGTGTTTCTACTTTTATAATAAAGATATCTCATTGGATAACTCATTAAATTATCCTCAAAATGGCGCGTGAAACATATAATAATGAAACGACTAATTCAACGAGTAGCTAGTGACATCGACAACAATGCTATTAGAGTTAAGGTTAAGGTTAAGGTTAAAATACGGATAGGCATTTGTTGCCGTCTTGCCACCGAACCCCTTCTGGGCTATTGTGGCTCCGTTTTCCTACTGATCC